AAATGAATTGTGTGTGAACAGGTTATTCATGCATATTCTAAATACTGTCGGATTTGCGTAACGTGTTGACTGCTAATATAGTGAATTTCAGGAAGTCTTATTTCCACAGTAGCATTTGTTTGGTACGTAGTAAGACTCATCTATTCCACACCGATCATGCATGTTTCTTTGTTTTTGTAATGTGGTAATGGGTGTGTGTTTTTCTTTTGTGCGAACGGTTATAGGACATGATACGAAACCCAAATACAACGTCCAAGAATCGGTACCTAAACGTACATGTGACAACCGTTTTCGGGTACAAATATGTCCACTTCCCGATATACCACGCAAATCACTAGATGATCATCGTGTATGATTTAGATTGTGGTACATGGACACACTACAATTCTATTAAGCAACATAAAGGATGTTGAGATGATCATTTTACCGAGGCGTTAAAAGTGGTAATTTAAATTTGTTGATTGATTTATGTTATTGTATAATTGTGTACGATTGGCACTTTGTGGGATATGTGTATACTGTGTAATTGTGTTAATTGAATATAATTTGTTAGTTTAATTGGCTGCTGTTGTTTTCGTAGAAACAATGGGTGGTTGATTATACACAGTGTGGTGAATTCAGTGCCAGAGTTTGGTGGTTTGACATCCCAAAATGTTGACGGACCATAGGAGGCCTTGGTCGATTGCCCCTAATAACACCAGGACTCGTAAGTGACTGTTTGAACTCATCAAGTAAATATGTTTCGTAAGCCCTGTATTAATATTAATGCTGACATAGGGTGATACGTGTGTGGTATTTGCAGACCTAATTGTGAAATTATGGTATGTGTCATCATGAGGCAGTACACCAACAATGTGGAAATTGAAAGTTCAATGGATGGATTGTTGCCCAGTGTGTTCAAAGCAAAAATGGTGAAAACATATATCAACGATTTGAAAAGAGGGCTTCATAATTGGCCTTTTCCTTGAACGCATTCAGTTGATATATATATTTAATATTGTTTTTAGTAGCGTATACGCTGAACGTAATATATTCCTGTTTTAGTTGACATTGATTTTTGATGGCGCCATGATCTCGTGGCCCATTGTGCGTCGTACAATTTTTGATATGGCAAAATTATGTGTTTTTGGTTCAGTGAAACAACATTGTGGATTTGGTGATTCCTAAATTAGGGAGTCATATATTTATTTGCAATTATATTGCGTAACCTTACGAATTTGTGATTTATATCTTGGAGTTTCGTGTGGTTAACATCGATGTGGAAATAATTGTAAATCAAACTTTGACAAGAATATTTTTATTCATCTTAATTCAATACATTGTACAATTACTTATTTATAGAGATGGATCACCAGTAAGTAGTAAGTCCTATAATTGAGCTATTCTTATAATCAAAGCTACAATCAAGCTATTTCATAATCTACAGATGTAATAATAGAAAACAACCAAGCTATTTCCTAATCTACAAATAGGAAACAATCACAAGAGATAATTCCTAAAATCTCTACACTCCTTCTCAAGTTGGTGCATAGATGTCACACATGACTAACTTGCCCAAAAACTTTGAGAACGCTGGACTAGACACTGCTTTAGTAAGGATATCGGCCAACTGATCTTCTGAGCGAATCTTAGGCAACTCCACAATTTTCTCATCCAATTTCTCCTTAATGAAGAATCTGTCTACTTCCACATGCTTTGTACGATCATGTTGAACCGGATTATGCGCAATATCACATGCTGCTTTATTTTCACAATAGAGTTAAATTGGTTATGTAGGCGAATAGCCCAAATCCCCCAAGAGAAGTTTTAGCCATAATGCTTCACATATTCCAAGTGTTATACCTCTAAATTCAGCCTCTACGCTTGAACGTGCAATAAGATTTTGTTTCTTGCTTCTCCACATAACGAGGTTACCACCTACAAAGGTGAAATATCCTGAAGTAGATCATCTGTCATCTACTGCCCCAGCCCAGTCAGCATCAGTATATGCATTCACACTTTGACAATCTATATTTTTTGTAAATAAAATTCCTTTTCCAGGAGCAAACTTCAGATACCTCAAAATGTGCATAACGGCATTCATATGTTTAGGGCTGGGCATAGGGTTATCCGACCCCCACAACCCGCCCTACCCGAACCGAACTGCACATGTATGGGCGGTTTCGCAAATTGAATAGGTTAAGGTGTGGTTTGAAATATATAAGATTTTCGGGTTACGAGCGGGTTGCGGTTTTGAACCGCACCCGTCACAACCCGTTCGCACTTAGCCAAATATAATTTTTAATTTTTAATTTTTTTTTAAAAAACATGGACCGTTCGTTCATTATCTAGATCTATCTATTCTATCCTATCTATCTCACATTGTTCAAATTACTCCCCCATTGTCTCAATGTAAGCTTGTTCCTTTCTCTTGCTATGTTCACCAATTGATAATTGGATGTTTCCAACTATTATGATAGTACACCCAGTTTGATTGCATAGAAAATTGAAAGAAATGGGA